CCAGTAGCGGGCTGGGCCCACCATGAGATCACCGAAGACCAGACATCTCTCCTCGTCCGGTGCTTGGTCCCGGATAAACGCTGATTTCACTTTGCCGATCCAGGTCCGTGCTTTGTCTTCTTCCCGATCCTTCCCTGAGAATTCTTTCAGATCAGAAATCGCTGAGATTCTGATCCTCTGCGTGATGTTTCCCCCTCCGGTAGTCGCACCGGTCGCGGCTACTTGAGGGCGCAGTGGTTCGGGCATCCATAGATCATCCGGGTCGTATTCCGCCGCCTCATGGATATGTTGGTAAATGTCCGACCCCACCGACTCCATCTCCACATCCGGCATGTCAAGGCTTTCGTGTGAAGGTTGGAGCAAAGTACGTCGATCTGGGTAGCGGTTTGGCTGTCGATTCATTCGCTGAGCTGTACGTTGCTCCGCCTCGTACTTCTTCATGGCTGAATTGAAGTACCGACTTAGATCGCCCTCTTCTTGATCCTCCAGCCCAGTGCGGGTACTGGCCGATCTCTGCGGCATGTTGCTCTTGGCTTGTCCCTTATAGGCGTCGATCTTGGCTTGTCCGATCTTGTCCTTTAAGAACCTTCCACCCGATGGTCCTAGAGACATCTGACGAATGCTGATGGATCCATCTGACTCGCTCTCGGAGTCATCCGAGGCGTAGCGGGGCGATCCCGCGGGGTGTTTACAGAGCGAGCCCGAGGGCGTCCCGATCTTGTCTTCAGGAGTATTCGCTTTGCCCACCAGCATTATCATGATCTCTACAAACTCATTCGCCGCGTCCTTCAACTGTTCCAAGCTGCAACTCAGCAGTTCATCTCCATCAAAAGCGTCAGGGCAGATACCCATGTCGTCCAACATCTGCAAAATCACATTGATCTCGTCGACTTTGTTGGTCCCGTGAAGTGGGACCGAGATCGGCTTATCCAGAGGACCAATCACCTTGGGCCTTAACATCTTGAACACTGGGTCCGTCTTGAGCAGCGTCTTCAACTGGCCATAATAGTACTGCCATTTTGCACGCTCCCGCGCTTCACCCGTCGTCTCCTTCTCCATGGACGCGATCTTTATTGGGTTATATTCCGTCTTTGGCATCGCGATCTTATCTGGTGTTTCATCGTATTCCTCTTTGGCTCCGATCTTCGATTGCACGGTTCGGCCGATCTGGCGATCTTTGACATCTGATCCCATCGATCTCGTCGCGGATCGTTCTGATGTGGTCGATCTCGCGATTGTGCTCTTCGGCTTGAGGTCGGGCGATCTATCGACTAAGATATAGGGTTTGGCTTTCGCCGATTTGGTTTTCACCGTTGGATTTTCATCCAGCAGATCGCTCTTTGCAGAGCGATCTGCGGTGGCCCCCGAAGGGACCCTAGGAGGGAATTGAGGTTTATCTTCCAGATCGATCTCTCGATCTTCCTCTTTCATTTTCATTTCATCAGAGCCCCTCCCAAAACTCTGATGATCTGAGGATCTTGTGCTTCTGCGTGTCTGCGTCGATCCCTTTGTCGCTGACACTTCAATCCCAGGTTCTTGCTTAATCTTGACATCTTCGCCAGTGGACTCACGGTGAAATCCAGAGGCCTCAGAAGATCCGGGCACGCGCACCATTGTGGTGAAGTCGATCTCACAAAATTGCTTGTATGAGTGTCGATCTTCCACTTGCCCAGACTTGCCGACTCACGGAGGGGGTACTCCGATCCGTGCCTTGCTGTATAACCTTGTGCTCACCTTGTGTACCCGTCGGTTGGGCTGGCTTGAGCTCTTCGTAACGGCCTTGGGAGATGTCGATCTCGCTGAGAGGTTGGGTTGAGGGTTCGCTTCCGGTGCGGAAATCTTCACACCACGAACGGGGTTCTGCGATCCCGATCTTGGATCGCACCGATCTTGATTTGTCTTCGAGATCGGGGTCTTTGCTGTGCGGAAATCTTCACTCAGCAAATAAAAGTCCTGCGTCGATCTTGCCTTGGGATCGGTCCGATCTGGTCTTGGGATCGGCCGATCTTGCCGGAAGTGCGCAATTTGGGTAGATCGGTGTCTTGTTTCGCCAAAATGAAACGTGCCGATCTGTCCGGGGGATCGCTTCGATCCTGCTCGGTCTTGTCTTGAACGCCTTGTCCAGATCTTCTGACCACTTGAGCCGTCTCGCGATCCTGTGTCCAAAATCCTTTTCCTTTTCCGTTGTGTGCTGCTACCCTAGCAGTTGAGTTGAGTGTGAGTACTTGATCGATCCGGGCCAGATATCCCGGGATCGCTCTTCTCGATCTTGGCCAACAATCCAAGATCGGTCTTCTGTGTCCCTGTAACACGCGTGCCTTAACCCGCCGGGGAAGCCAAATCAATCTTGCCTGGAGAAGAGGGGAGGATAACGTGCGTCGTGAGCAGAAGAAGTAGAGTTCAAGTCTGTTTATTAACCAACCAAATTACTATCCAACCTACCCTTAAGCCTATTTTTAACTGTAGGTCACTCTTCAAACCGATATCGCCTTGAATCTGGATCGCCCCCTTGCCACGTGTCGAAATTTCGTGCCCTGTACTCCAATGATAGCGCCAATATTCCCGATACCGTACCTGAACGCCAAAAGAGGACCAAATCCCAAATGGGGTACCAAATACCCAAAAGCCCAAAATAGTGCCCAAATGCCGAAGGCGTCTAAATCCATTTTGCGACGTCAATTCGGACAGCTTCCACTGGCTCTTTCGGCATGAAACTTCTTGACATCACTTAGTGACCTCTACCAAGTATATTCCACATGATCCAGTGTCTTCATCAACCATATATTCATGATCAGTGTGGAACATGACCGATCTGTCATCCAATATCGAGATGTTGGAGGTCGATCCGGTCTAAATCGGAAATTAACACTTTTTTATCTCCTCATACGTGCTTCAATATCATCCTCCAGTGTTATCCAATCGACCACTTCATTCATACGTCTCGACATCGGTTTCCTTGACTCCCCTGAGTATGCAAAACTTCCAGATCGGCGTATAATTAACCAAAATCAGTACTCCCAATTTAGGATCGGTAAAGAGTATCACCGATCCGTATGGTGTTGCACCTTCTTTGCCGATTCACCGACCTGTACCACCTGGTCCCAGATGCGAGGTCAATTCTCCAACAAACCGTTGCCACAACATGCCGATCTGCGATCTGATCTTAGCCTGCTTCAATGTACGTATACTTCTTCTTGACCGGCATTCCAATGAGCTGTATGACTTCATCCCGACGTCTGGTTCCAAATCGCCCCATAACATTCTGCAAGGTGTTACACCTTCGTCGCAGAGTCATATCCCATCACCCGGTCCCAGATCCTTGTCCCAGATTGTTCCATGTAAATCGTTCCAGATCGCTCCGTCCCAGGTCGATTCACACCCATTAGTCTAACGACAGTTGGACCGGTTCGCCGATCCCGTTAAGATCATCTTCCACCTCCGTATTGGATCGCCGAGTCTCATGGCCTCCTTTTCCACCATTAAGCGGCGCTTTATAGGTGTGGCCACCGATCCTCGTACAAAATTTGAGTAGTGACTTTGCCACACTACCCAGATCGACGTACTTTGCTCCAACCTTCACACGAAAGCCTTGACATGCCGGATGTGGAGATGGAGTCGGTGGGGTCGGACATTTACCAACATATCCATGAGGCGGCGGAATACGACCCGGATGATCTATGGATGTCCGAACCACGGCGCCCTCAAGTAGCCGCGACCGGTGCGACTACCGGAGGGGGAAACACCACGCAGAGGATCAGAATCTCAGCGATTTCTGAGCTGAAAGAATTCTCAGGGAAGGATCGGGAAGAAGACAAAGCACGGACCTAGATCGGCAAAGTGAAATCAGCGTTTATCCGGGACCAAGCACCGGACGAGGAGAGATGTCTGGTCTTCGGTGATCTCATGGTGGGCCCAGCCCGCTACTGGTACCGACAGCTGAGTAGATCGACGAGATTCAATTGGAAAGAATTGATGAACAGTTTTCTTGTGGAGTATGCGGGACACGGGATGTCCGCGAGCAGGCAATACTACCATGCAAAGAAACGATCGGAGGAAGATCCTTTACAGTACCTGTATCGGCTTAATGTGATGGGAATGCAGGCGAAGATACCGGTGATGACTGGATTGCCAGCTGCGCGCAAGGAACATGTCAATCATTTCATTGACACTTTGGACGACCCCGATCTGTCCAATCAATTGCTACTGCTGAATGTAGAAGACGCGGAGGCCATGCAAAAGACACTGCACGGATATCAACAAGGGAGATCGCGTCAAGGGAAAGTGATGATGGGATCGTCCAAATTCAGACAGAAGGGAACTCAGGGTCCAGCGCTGTCTAAGCCTGCACGAGCGGTAAGGATGGTCCGTACCGAGGACGTCTGCAGCGAGTCAGGATCGGACACCTGCGGATCGGATTTGGAAGATCGATTGAGATCGATCCATGTGGCTGCTACCGCGGATCGCCGTTCATCCCCCAATGACGTTGCAGCAAACGCGAGATCGGTCGACCCGAACACTCGTCAAGATTATCAAGATCGCAATATGCCATTGAAGCCGTGTACTCATTGCGGATCGACCAAGCATGGAGATCTCGGTTGTTGGAAGCGGCTCACTTGCCAGAAGTGTGGGCGTAAAGGACACCCCTCTGACAATTGTTTTTTCGTGTGTCGTGCTTGCGGTGAGATGCACGACCCGGGGAAGTGTCCCATGGAGGAGTTCTATAACATGATCCGTCAGTGGTACGTCCCGAATAAGCATGCGGGGATGCTACCAGAGAAGGCCGAGAAGATGTTAAACTAGGACGCTCGCCAGGTTTGAATCTGGTACGAGCCGAGCGTTCTGGGCTCTGCATTATTGCATACGTGGAAAAAAAGAAGACAGATCGCGAGAGTAAGCAGGATATCGACGTGGAAACAAATATATCTCGTTCGAAGTTAAAACGTGTCGCTTCCGTGTCCCATCTGAAGCGGATCGATGAGTACTCACGATCTGAACCAGCTATGGAGATCGAGCTCGCTTATGGTGAATCTCGCGGATATTGGAAACATTATTCACCCGGGAAGTGGTTCAAACAAGCGAAAGCCGTTGGCAAGATCAACAACGTAAAAGCTACTCTGTTATTTGATTCTGGTGCTGAAGTGTCGATCATTGACACCACCTTTGCTCGTGAGGTCGGTTGCAATATTGACGAAAGTCAACGACAAGAATGTATCGGGATTGGAGAAACTCCGTACATGACGGTAGGACGTACCAAGATCAAGGTGACCCTCGCGGGATCGCTGGTATACTATTTCAATGTATGGGTAGGCGATCTGGCAGGGCAAGAAGCGATTCTGGGTATGGATTTTATGGTGCCTGCTGGATGGTGCGGCTCGATCTAGCGGATGGCGCGCTATGTCTACCAGAAGAAATCCGCATTCATCTCGCAGGACGTCGCCCCGCGTACGGATCGAAGATACAACATATAACGGCGAAGGACCAACACGTGGTGATCCCGGTCGGAGAGTCAAGGGAAGTGAATATCGGGATCGGAGGGGCTAAGATGAAGTTGTGGGTCGCTAGAGGACTAGATTGGGTCCCCACTGTGATCTCGGGGGTGGGGTAAGACGAAATACCTGCAGATGACCAACATTGGCGACCGGGAGATCATACTGCCCACCCACACTATATTAGGCATGTGGGTCGAAGGCGATATGGTACCGCGGACCCAAGGTTTGGTGACAGTCGGGTCGGGGAAGTACAAGGAATGGCAAACTCTGGCATATGAGGCTACAACGGATCAAGTGAACGAACTCCCGAAAGAACCGATCGGACCATTGGTAGATCGTCCTACGTATGCCGCTCCCAAACGCATCTTGAAACGTCCGTCTGATGCGTTACAGAACCTGTCTCCGGCGATCTCCACGGTAACGTCGCAAGCTAACGATGACGATTCGCAAAAGGCAGATGCTGTAGTTGCGAGGGAAGTAACGGTCAGGGGAGCCGAACTATCGCGGATGGAGAACGGTCATGAGATCGGTACCCAACATGCAACGAAGGGAGACCGCGACACCGGTCAAGAAGGGCTACGTGACAGATCGTCTCTAACGAAGGCTGAGCCGACTGACCGACTGTTGAAATTGGGCCAGCCGGAAGAGACGAAGGAGCCTAAAGAAGAAATAATGCTAAATACTGAAGACGTCGAGATTGCAGAAATACCAGTTTATCACCACGAGAGCGGAGATTTGTTTGCGGAAGATATCGAGCAGCATATGGCCGTGCTACCAGAGATGTCGGCGACTACGGAAGAAGTTACGATTGAGGACATTCAGATCGGTGATCCCGATGTGCCTCTCACCACAGATCAACAACGGCTCAGATCGCTGATCTGGAAGAGCCGTCACCTCCTCATGGGTAAAGGTAATGCTCTACCACCCGCAGCACGAGGCGCGATCTGTGATATTGATGTCGGTGGGGGCAGCACCGATAGCGCAAAGAGTGCGTCCGGTCGCACCCAAATATCGGGAGAAGCTGTCAGATCTCATCAAAGGACTATTAGCAGCCAAAATCGTTCAGCCATCCACGTCACCTTGGGCGTCTCCGATAGTGGTGATCATCAAGAAGAACGGAGTGGATATTCGCCCTTGCATTGATTATCGAAGAGCTAACCAGCTGACGCGTCTGATGGTTTATCCCATGCCGTTGATCAGCGATCTGTTGGAAGATCTGGATAAAGCTCTATGGTACTGTTCGCTAGACATGGCTAGTGGATTTTGGGTCGTCGAAATGACCGAACGAGCAAAACTGATCTCAGCGTTTGTCACACCGTTTGGCTTGTTCGAGTGGCTGCGAATGCCTTTTGGGCTTAAGAACGCGCCCCAGATATACCAACGTCTGGTGGACAATGCGTTGTATGGATATCTCAAGATCGGCCAGAGATCAGCTTCTGATGGCCCGATCGACGTGTTCAAAGATGGAGAACCTGAGACAGATCGACGACCGTCTATACTGGGACGCCGATCTTACATTGACGATATTCTCATACCAGCCGCGTCATGGGGATCTTTGTACACAAAAGTAGAACGGTTGCTGGAGGCATGTGATAAGCGGAATCTGTCTATCAGCCTCACGAAGAGTTTTTGGGGGTGCCGTAAGGTCGATTATTTGGGACATCGAGTGTCGATGGATGGTCTGGAGGCTCAGCCCAAGAACCTAGAGTCGTTGGTTAACATCCCGTTTCCTAGCACGCTACGAGCTATGCAATCCTTTCTCGGGAGCTTGAACTACTACCGTCGCTTCATTGAGGATTTCGCGGTGTATGCCGCGGTGTTGTATGAGTTAAGAGAATCGGATTTCTTCGAGATCGGCCGATATCAGCTTGCAGCAGGAGACGAATGCTCCAACGAGGGTCGATGGACGGAAGCCAAGGTTGCTTTCACTATGCTAAAAGCTAAGATAGCTACAGCTCCCATGCTCAAGCATTTCGACCCAGATCGGTCCCCCGTAATCGTGGTCTACGCTAGCAAGTGGGCTGTCTCAGCGGCCCTGATACAGGAGTACGATGGCGTGTACCATCCGGTGACGTTTACTAGCCGCACTTTAAAGCCTAATGAGCTTAACTACGGAATGGTAGAAAAAGAAGTGCTGGCGCTACTTCGTGTGTTGGATGTATGCTATACTACGCTTGCCTCGCGGGAGATCACTGTACTGACCCGACATTCTACGTTAGCCTGGTTGATGCAGTCTCGAGGGCTCAACGGGAGATTAGGACGGTGGGCTGCTTTGTTGTCAAATTGGACTATGGAGGTGAAGAAATGTGAAAGAGGAGAGGAAGAAATCCTGGGCATGTTAGCAGCGAGTATCACTCCGAGAGGAGAGGTGGAAGAGATGCTGATTGCGATCTCCCCACGAAAAGACTGTCGACTCAAAATATCGATGCCTCCTCCAACGGTGGAAACAGATGAGGAGTTGCTGGTAGCCAGTTTCGATGGATCGGCTAGGATAAAAAAGAAAGGAGGGTCGTTCAGTGCCGTGATATGGAAGTTACCCGAATGGACGATCGTGGCGGCCGAATCGAGATATGTTCACGATCTGACTGTGAATGAAGCTGAGTATAATGGCTTGCTACTGTGCTTTGAGTTACTCGCCGGTCTGGATAGGGGGCGAGTAATACTGTGTGGAGATTCCAGTCTGGTGATTCGACAGATGCGCGGTGAGATCGACTGCAAGGCACCGGGCCTTCAGCTTCTGAGACACAAAGCGTTGGAGAAGCTGCAGTCATGGCCTAGTCACGAGTTTCTGCATATGAAGCGAGAGTGGAATCAGAGCGCAGATCGACTAGCCAGCACAGCATTGCAGAGCGAAAAGGGAAGAACGGTTGTAGCTGAAGAGGATCGGCAAGATCTGATGACTCTGAACCGTCTTGATGAATTGTTGAAGCCCAAGCAAGATGGTCAGCTGGCTCGGGTAACTGAGATCGCGAGATCAGCCAGGAGGATACATCATGGACCTGAAGTGATACAGGAGGAGATAGTACAGAGGATCAGGATTCAACGAATTGTCCAAGCTCAAGATGAGGAGCGTTGGATTGTCAATCTCAAGACATATCTAAGTGGCGATGTATCAAACTTGGATGCGGTAGAAGTGAAGACGTGCGCCAAACTGGCGCCGGAATACGAGATCGATGAGAACAATCTGCTATTTTTTTGCCCCATGGCGAAAAGAGAGTCAGAAGATCGCGATGGTTTGATGCGGTTGGTGATCCCTGAGACGTTGCAGCAAGATTTTTGCATCATTATCACACGAGTCTGGAAGGAGGCCATCAGGGTATTGGCCGAACCTATCAGAGGATCAGATCGCGATTTCATTGGAGAGGACTGTATCGGAGCGTTCAACGATATGTGGGCGAATGTACCGACTGTGAGACCGGGAAAGGAAACCCGATGATTAATGGGAAATCCCCGGGCAATCTACACGCAACCTATCCATTCCAGATCATCGCCATGGATCATATACCGTCGTTGACCAAGTCCATCAAGGGGAACACCGAACTGCTCATTTGGGTCGACCTTTTCTCGGGATATGTGATTGCAAAGGCTAGCTCCTCTCGGACGGCACAAACAATAGCGGAGAATTACGAAGAATGTGTGTTTCGACGCTTCGGAGCTAGCGAGGCTATCAGGCACGATCGAGAACCGGGATTTATGTCCGACTTCTTTCGAGCCTTCAGTCGGATCGTAGGACAAAAACAGCGTGCTACTATGGCTTACAGGCCACAAGCAAATGGAACAGTCGAACGAATGGTGCAAACCCTGACACATTCGCTCAAGATGTACGTGGCTGAAGTTGACCAGCGAGACTGGGATGAGTATGCTGAGCGGCTCACATTTGCCATTAACACTGCACAAGATTGGATCCGGGGGATACCCCATTTTATCTGATTCATGGGTGGGACCCGCGATCGACTTTGGAGGCTACGCTACCAGTGGGGAATACGGGGACACGAGATCGCGATCCAAAGAGGTGGAGATACAAAATCCAAAGACAATACCTGCGAGCCCGATCTGCAGTGAACGATCGTTTACAAGCCGCGATCCAGGAGCGAGCGGATCGACACAACGAAGATCTGGAACCACACGAGATCGAAGTAGGAGCGCAAGTTTGGCTATACCTGGACCGAGTTAAAGAAGGATATGCGAAGAAGCTAGCGCACATGTGGCATGGGCCATTCCGAGTTGCGGACGTATGTGGAGATCATGCTGTAAAATTGGAGATCGCTGGAACCCCATATCGGTTATTTCCGATTGTACATATATCGAAGCTAAAAAAGGTAAAGACGTTCCCTGAACGCCCGAAGGATCAGCTTACGATAGAGGAATCAGATCGCTTGGATTTCGATGAAGCTCTGCTGCCGGAAGACAGTTGGGATGGCGATCTTGAAGAAGGGGAATACGAAGTGGAGGCAATATTGGACGTGCGATCTGGTAGAAAAACCCGTTATGGGCGAGTACACCGGCAGTTTCTGGTGAAGTGGAAGGGATATCCCGATCTAAGTTGGGTGGACGAGGCCGATCTACGTTGTGGGGCGATCTTGCAAGAGTTTGAGCGGAACCGAGTGAGTCGAAACCGTTTCGACGTAATGCAGTCTCATGAAGGCAAGTCGGACGAACCTTAACAGTTCGAACAAGTATGCGGGAGGTAGCATATGCGGATGTAGGGGTTGAAAGATGTGCTAGACGGTAGCACATGCTGGTGGATGAGGTTTTTGTATGTGAGTATGGAGATAGTCAAGTGAATTACCTTCCTGAATGATGTGGAGCGAGGAGGATCGAGATCGCGGAAGCTGCAAAGAATGGAAGTACCAAAAAGAAGATGATTGAATGACTTACACGATTATGAAAGACGATCGGGCTTGGATATCGATCTTGGACTAAGACGATGGAGCAGGTTTGAACTTGTCCTGCAGACGAGGGATCTGCGATCCGGGATGATCCCAATAGGCGTTACGGAATTGGTTGCGCCAAGGATCCTCTTGGTCTGCCATGTCCAACGCCTCTAGCAAGTCAGCTGGGTCGTTAGAGTGTCCTAACCCTGGATACCAAACTCGGTCTTCATGTGGGCGCGGATAGTGGAGGAAGAAGGGATCTAGCAAGATGTCGAGATCACAGTGGCCAGCGATCATGCCGCTGAGTATCATCTTAAAGAAGTTCTTCCAACGCGCTCCAAAGCGAGAACGGCGTTGTTTTCGTTGGCGTCAGAATGTCTGCATGAACCGTTCAGATCGCCTTTGAGCCGGAGGAATCGGGAAAGCATGAGTAGATTCCCACAGAGCTTTTCGATGAGTGGACTCAAGCTCCAGGTACCGATGACCCATATCACGATACCATCCAGTCATGGTGAATGATATCGGGTTCACTGGGACTATGATATTATCCCAAGGGGCTAAAGCATAAAGAGCCTCGATGTGTTGCCGCGAGATCAGCCCAGAAGCCCAAGTCCCCGTAGGCGGAGCTCGTCCATGATTGTAGAAGGGAAACAGAAAATTCCTGGGTTTGGAGTAGTGGTGAAACAACAGCTCAATGGTCATGGTCCTCACGCAAACCATCGCGATCCGCGAAACGGACCATGGAGCGATCTCGGAAGCTACCCGTCGGGAGGGCGCCAGATAGTTGGGAATCCACCGATCCCGTGGTTGCTGGAGTGGCGGAAGATTGTCGAAGTCCACGGAAGAGAAAACTCTGTTAGCCACTTGGCGTGCCGGAAGGGTGATGCTGTTTTCGCTATCGGACGAATGGCGATCCGAAAGCGCAGTAGACTCCGGAGGCGGACTAACAGAGCCAGTCTCGCTGTGTGTCTCCCCTGTTGGCGATACCTCCACGTCTTCTACGCCGTCATCATCTTGAATTTCGACTACGGGGACAGCCGCGACCGGAGTGGATGGGTACGAAAGATAACGAGGCTCCGGAACGTCTGGAGAAGGCGAACGCAACAGTGCTTGAGCCAACGCAGTAGCCGCGGGAGAAGCGGGAACAACCCGAGCGGCCGGAGAGGGGTTCGGGGTCGAAGATCGGGCATCCGATCTAGGTTGACGACGAGAGGCCGATCTCGATTGGGATAATGCAGCACGAGTCAAATCATCCGAGCTAGAATCCGACTCGGTCAGCTCCTCACTTCCCGATCCAGTCCCAGAAGCCGCGGAAGAAAGCGGAGAACAAGAAGAATTGGGTGGAGGCTCGGGTGGGGCCAATCCGGGAAGGTTGTTCAAAGGTATTGAAGGGTTCAACGACAATAGCCGGGAAGCCACACGGGCGGTGGAAGAATCACTGGATTGTGACCTTGGTTGAATACGCCGACGCTTGGCAGGCGGGCCGAACGATCTCGATCTGGACCTACGGGCAAGCGATCTCGATCCCGGGGTAGTGGGAGCAGGGGGCGATACGACCGGAGTAGCACTCTCAGGCGTCGATCGAGCGATCAACGCAGACGACCGGGATCCGAGTATAGCACTGTTCAGTGTGTCGAGGAGAGCTCGGTGTTCAGCTATAGCCTGATCCCGATCATGCTCCACCACCTGCAACTGGTCGTATATCTCGAGGTGTTCCGCAAGCTGACGACGTAGGTTGGCGTTCTCCGCCTGCGAAAGTGCCAACTGACCCTCTAGGGGAGTCAAACCATCCACTTGTTGCATGAGATCGCTGATCGAAGACAGTCCATCTGCGATCTCCTCCTGAGACTGAGCCAATTGCTCCTTCAAGTGCAAAAAATCTATGTGAAGGAAGGATTTGTCCATGGTCAGCTGATCACGCTGCTGTCGGAGAGAGTTGAGTTCGGCTTGGAGCAAATGAAGCTGAGCCCTCAAAGCATCCACCTGTCGTTCCAAGTTCCCCTGAGCCTCGTCGTTGGCACATATCAAAGTGCGTAGCCGACGAATCTCCTCCGATTGATCTCGATATGTCCGCAGAGCTCGATGGCAATCACTCAAAGAATGCACTGCGTCGACGTAGCGGCCCTGCATCCAGTCATATCGAAGCTGGACGAAGGAGACAAAAGGAGCGGCTGATCTGTATAGCGAATCAAGCTCGTCTTGTAAGCGATCCCCCGGACGACGGCATCTCGGTAGGATTGCTGGAGCGCATGAATGGTGTCGGCTTGGCTGCAGAAGGTAGCCTCTCGATCCCACAAATACGAGATCGTGGCCATCGTGAGACGAACGTCGTCGGCAGAGACTCTGGGAACGAAGTCGGTGACGCCCACAGCTGGAGCAGACCTTTCACGAGATTCATTAGCGGCCGGGATGTCGGATCTGGACGCATCTGGGGCCCCCGGAGGAGTGGGAAGCGGGAATGGCTTGGAGGAACGATCTGATAATTCCGCGGCGGTCGAGAGTGATCCGACCGATCTGGGATTACTGAGAGACTCATGTTGATCTGGGACGATAGGAGCATACCACCCGCAATCTAGCGATCTAGATGGCGAGTCTCGGGATGGAGACGAGGGTCTGGTCGGCTGTCGATCTGGCGATCCTGTGGGGATTGTGGGCGATCCGGTTGGGCCTAGATGGCGCGGAGACCCAGGCCGATCGGGGACCGCTGGGGTGTGTCCTCCGAGATCGGGCGATCCGGGCGACAGGTCGCGATCCGGAGACAGAAACATGGTGGGTCCTTCTGATGAGATCAGCGAGGTGGGTGGATGCGTCGGAGAGGCCATGAGACGGACTTGAGTGCTTGGAACGAAGTTGATGAGTGACTGTACTGAGGTCAATTGCTGTACAAAAGACTTCAGTACAGGGGGCGGTTGTGGCAAAGTCACTACTCAAATTTTGTACGAGGATCGGTGGCCACACCTTTAAAGCGCCGCTTACTGGTGGAAAAGGAGGCCATGAGACTCGGCGATCCAATACGGAGGTGGAAGATGATCTTAACGGGATCGGCGAACCGATCCAACTGTCGTTAGACGAATGGGTATGAATCGACCTGGGACGGAGCGATCTGGAACGATTTACATGGAACAATCTGGGACAAGGATCTGGGACCGGGTGATGGGATATGACTCTGCGACGAAGGTGTAACATCTTGCAGAATGTTATGGGGCGATCTGGAACCAGACGTCGGGATGAAGTCATACAGCTCATTGGAATGCCGGTCAAGAAGAAGTATACGTACATTGAAGCAGGCTAAGATTAGATCGCAGATCGGCATGTTGTGGCAACGGTTTGTTGGAGAATTGACACATCTGGGACAAGGTGACTCCCCAAAGTGCATCTGGGACCAGGTGGTACAGGTCGGTGAATCGGCAAAGAAGGTGCAACACCATACGGATCGGTGATACTCTTTACCGATCCTAAATTGGGAGTACTGATTTTGGTTAATTATACACCGATCTGGAAGTTTTGCATACTCAGGGGAGTCAAGGAAACCGATGTCGAGACGTATGAATGAAGTTGTCGATTGGATAACACTGGAGGATGATATTGAAGCACGTATGAGGAGATGAAAAAGTGTTAATTGCCGATTTAGACCGGATCGACCTCCAACATCTCGATATTGGATGACAGATCGGTCATGTTCCACACTGATCATGAATATATGGTTGATGAAGACACTGGATCATGTGGAATATACTTGGTAGAGGTCACTAAGTGATGTCAAGAAGTTTCATGCCGAAAGAGCCAGTGGAAGCTGTCCGAATTGACGTCGCAAAATGGATTTAGACGCCTTCGGCATTTGGGCACTATTTTGGGCTTTTGGGTATTTGGTACCCCATTTGGGATTTGGTCCTCTTTTGGCGTTCAGGTACGGTATCGGGAATATTGGCGCTATCATTGGAGTACAGGGCACGAAATTTCGACACGTGGCAAGGGGGCGATCCAGATTCAAGGCGATATCGGTTTGAAGAGTGACCTATAGTTAAGGATAGGCTTAAGGGTAGGTTGGATAGTAATTTGGTTGGTTAATAAACAGACTTGAACTCTACTTCTTCTGCTCACGACGCACGTTATCCTCCCCTCTTCTCCAGGCAAGATTGATTTGGCTTCCCCGGCGGGTTAAGGCACGCGTGTTACAGGGACACAGAAGACCGATCTTGGATTGTTGGCCAAGATCGAGAAGAGCGATCCCGGGATATCTGGCCCGGATCGATCAAGTACTCACACTCAACTCAACTGATAGGGTAGCAGCGCACAACGGAAAAGGAAAAGGATTTTGGACACAGGATCGCGAGACGGCTCAAGTGGTCAGAAGATCTGGACAAGGTGTTCAAGACAAGACCGAGCAGGATCGAAGAGATCCCCCGGACAGATCGGCACGTTTCATTTTGGCGAAACAAGACACCGATCTACCCAAATTGCGCACTTCCGGCAAGATCGGCCAATCCCAAGACCAGATCGGACCGATCCCAAGGCAAGATCGACGCAGGACTTTTATTTTTGAGTGAAGATTTCCGCACAGCAAAGACCCCGATCTCGAAGACAAATCAAGATCGGTACGATCCAAGATCGGGATCGCAGAACCCCGTTCGTGGTGTGAAGATTTCCGCACCGGAAGCGAACCCTCAACCCAACCTCTCAGCGAGATCGACATCTCCCAAGGCCGTTACGAAGAGCTCAAGCCAGCCCAACCGACGGGTACACAAGGTGAGCACAAGGTTATACAGCAAGGCACGGATCGGAGTACACCCTCCGTGAGTCGGCAAGTCTGGGCAAGTGGAAGATCGACACTCATACAAGCAATTTTGTGAGATCGACTTCACCACAATGGTGCGCGTGCCCGGATCTTCTGAGGCCTCTGGATTTCACCGTGAGTCCACTGGCGAAGATGTCAAGATTAAGCAAGAACCTGGGATTGAAGTGTCAGCGACAAAGGGATCGACGCAGACACGCAGAAGCACAAGATCCTCAGATCATCAGAGTTTTGGGAGGGGCTCTGATGAAATGAAAATGAAAGAGGAAGATCGAGAGATCGATCTGGAAGATAAACCTCAATTCCCTCCTAGGGTCCCTTCGGGGGCCACCGCAGATCGCTCTGCAAAGAGCGATCTGCTGGATGAAAATCCAACGGTGAAAACCAAATCGGCGAAAGCCAAACCCTATATCTTAGTCGATAGATCGCCCGACCTCAAGCCGAAGAGCACAATCGCGAGATCGACCACATCAGAACAATCCGCGACGAGATCGATGGGATCAGATGTCAAAGATCGCCAGATCGGCCGAACCGTGCAATCGAAGATCGGAGCCAAAGAGGAATACGATGAAACACCAGATAAGATCGCGATGCCAAAGACGGAATATAACCCAATAAAGATCGCGTCCATGGAGAAGGAGACGACGGGTGAAGCGCGGGAGCGTGCAAAATGGCAGTACTATTATGGCCAGTTGAAGACGCTGCTCAAGACGGACCCAGTGTTCAAGATGTTAAGGCCCAAGGTGATTGGTCCTCTGGATAAGCCGATCTCGGTCCCACTTCACGGGACCAACAAAGTTGACGAGATCAATGTGATTTTGCAGATTTTGGACGACATGGGTATCTGCCCTGACGCTTTTGATGGAGATGAACTGCTGAGTTGCAGCTTGGAACAGTTGAAGGACGCGGCGAATGAGTTTGTAGAGATCATGATAATGCTGGTGGGCAAAGCGAATACTCCTGAAGACAAGATCGGGACGCCCTCGGGCTCGCTCTGTAAACACCCCGCAGGATCGCCCCGCTACGCCTCGGATGACTCCGAGAGCGAGTCAGATGGATCCATCAGCATTCGTCCGATGTCTCTAGGACCATCGGGTGGAAGGTTCTTAAAGGACAAGATCGGACAAGCCAAGATCGACGCCTATAAGGGACAAGCCAAGAGCAACATGCCGCAGAGATCGGCCAGTACCCGCACTGGGCTGGAGGATCAAGAAGAGGGCGATCTAAGTCGGTACTTCAATTCAGCCATGAAGAAGTACGAGGCGGAGCAACGTACAGCTCAGCGAATGAATCGACAGCCAAACCGCTACTGTGGTGAAGTCGATCTCACAAAATTGCTTGTATGAGTGTCGATCTTCCACTTGCCCAGACTTGCCGACTCACGGAGGGTGTACTCCGATCCGTGCCTTGCTGTATAACCTTGTGCTCACCTTGTGTACCCGTCGGTTGGGCTGGCTTGAGCTCTTCGTAACGGCCTTGGGAGATGTCGATCTCGCTGAGAGGTTGGGTTGAGGGTTCGCTTCCGGTGCGGAAATCTTCACACCACGAACGGGGTTCTGCGATCCCGATCTTGGATCGCACCGATCTTGATTTGTCTTCGAGATCGGGGTCTTTGCTGTGCGGAAATCTTCACTCAAAAATAAAAGTCCTGCGTCGATCTTGCCTTGGGATCGGTCCGATCTGGTCTTGGGATTGGCCGATCTTGCCGGAAGTGCGCAATTTGGGTAGATCGGTGTCTTGTTTCGCCAAAATGAAACGTGCCGATCTGTCCGGGGGATCGCTTCGATCCTGCTCGGTCTTGTCTTGAACGCCTTGTCCAAATCTTCTGACCACTTGAGCCGTCTCGCGATCCTGTGTCCAAAATCCTTTTCCTTTTCCGTTGTGTGCTGCTACCCTAGCAGTTGAGTTGAGTGTGAGTACTTGATCGATCCGGGCCAGATATCCCGGGATCGCTCTTCTCGATCTTGGCCAACAATCCAATATCGGTCTTCTGTGTCCCTGTAACACGCGTGCCTTAACCCGCCGGGGAAGCCAAATCAATCTTGCCTGGAGAAGAGGGGAGGATAACGTGCGTCGTGAGCAGAAGAAGTAGAGTTCAAGTCTGTTTATTAACCAACCAAATTACTATCCAACCTACCCTTAAGCCTATCCTTAACTATAGGTCACTCTTCAAACCGATATCGCCTTGAATCTGGATCGCCCCCTTGCCACGTGTCGAAATTTCGTGCCCTGTACTCCAATGATAGCGCCAATATTCCCGATACCGTATCTGAACGCCAAAAGAGGACCAAATCCCAAATGGGGTACCAAATACCCAAAAGCCCAAAATAGTGCCCAAATGCCGAAGGCGTCTAAATCCATTTTGCGACGTCAATTCGGACAGCTTCCACTGGCTCTTTCGGCATGAAACTTCTTGACATCACTTAGTGACCTCTACCAAGTATATTCCACATGATCCAGTGTCTTCATCAACCATATATTCATGATCAGTGTGGAACATGACCGATCTGTCATCCAATATCGAGATGTTGGAGGTCGATCCGGTCTAAATCGGCAATTAACACTTTTTCATCTCCTCATACGTGCTTCAATATCATCCTCCAGTGTTATCCAATCGACAACTTCATTCATACGTCTCGACATCGGTTTCCTTGACTCCCCTGAGTATGCAAAACTTCCAGATCGGTGTATAATTAACCAAAATCAGTACTCCCAATTTAGGATCGGTAAAGAGTATCACCGATCCGTATGGTGTTGCACCTTCTTTGCCGATTCACCGACCTGTACCACCTGGTCCCAGATGCACTTTGGGAGTCACCTTGTCCCAGATGTGTCAATTCTCCAACAAACCGTTGCCACAACATGCCGATCTGCGATCTAATCTTAGCCTGCTTCAATGTACGTATACTTCTTCTTGACCGGCATTCCAATGAGCTGTATGACTTCATCCCGACGTCTGGTTCCAGATCGCCCCATAACATTCTGCAAGATGTTACACCTTCGTCGCAGAGTCATATCCCATCACCCGGTCCCAGATCCTTGTCCCAGATTGTTCCATGTAAATCGTTCCAGATCGCTCCGTCCCAGGTCGATTCATACCCATTCGTCTAACGACAGTTGGATCGGTTCGCCGATCCCGTTAAGATCATCTTCCACCTCCGTATTGGATCGCCGAGTCTCATGGCCTCCTTTTCCACCAGTAAGCGGCGCTTTAAAGGTGTGGCCACCGATCCTCGTACAAAATTTGAGTAGTGACTTTGCCACAACCGCCCCCTGTACTGAAGTCTTTTGTACAGCAATTGACCTCAGTACAGTCACTCATCAACTTCGTTCCAAGCACTCAAGTCCGTCTCATGGCCTCTCCGACGCATCCACCCACCTCGCTGATCTCATCAGAAGGACCCACCATGTTTCTGTCTCCGGATCGCGACCTGTCGCCCGGATCGCCCGATCTCGGAGGACACACCCCAGCGGTCCCCGATCGGCCTGGGTCTCCGCGCCATCTAGGCCCAACCGGATCGCCCACAATCCCCACAGGATCGCCAGATCGACAGCCGACCAGACCCTCGTCTCCATCCCGAGACTCGCCATCTAGATCGCTAGATTGCGGGTGGTATGCTCCTATCGTCCCAGATCAACATGAGTCTCTCAGTAATCCCAGATCGGTCGGATCACTCTCGACCGCCGCGGAATTATCAGATCGTTCCTCCAAGCCATTCCCGCTTCCCACTCCTCCGGGGGCCCCAGATGCGTCCAGATCCGACATCCCGGCCGCTAATGAATCTCGTGAAAGGTCTGCTCCAGCTGTGGGCGTCACCGACTTCGTTCCCAGAGTCTCTGCCGACGACGTTCGTCTCACGATGGCCACGATCTCGTATTTGTGGGATCGAGAGGCTACCTTCTGCAGCCAAGCCGACACCATTCATGCGCTCCAGCAATCCTACCGAGATGCCGTCGTCCGGGGGATCGCTTACAAGACGAGCTTGATTCGCTATACAGATCAGCCGCTCCTTTTGTCTCCTTCGTCCAGCTTCGATATGACTGGATGCAGGGCCGCTACGTCGACGCAGTGCATTCTTTGAGTGATTGCCATCGAGCTCTGCGGACATATCGAGATCAATCGGAGGAGATTCGTCGGCTACGCACTTTGATATGTGCCAACGACGAGGCTCAGGGGAACTTGGAACGACAGGTGGATGCTTTGAGGGCTCAGCTTCATTTGCTCCAAGCCGAACTCAACTCTCTCCGACAGCAGCGTGATCAGCTGACCATGGACAAATCCTTCCTTCACATAGATTTTTTGCACTTGAAGGAGCAATTGGCTCAGTCTCAGGAGGAGATCGTAGATGGACTGTCTTCGATCAGCGATCTCATGCAACAAGTGGATGGTTTGACTCCCCTAGAGGGTCAGTTGGCACTTTCGCAGGCGGAGAACGCCAACCTACGTCGTCAGCTTGCGGAACACCTCGAGATATACGACCAGTTGCAGGTGGTGGAGCATGATCGGGATCAGGCTATAGCTGAACACCGAGCTCTCCTCGACACACTGAACAGTGCTATACTCGGATCCCGGTCGTCTGCGTTGATCGCTCGATCGACGCCTAAGAGTGCTACTCCGGTCGTATCGCCCCCTGCTCCCACTACCCCGGGATCGAGATCGCTTGCCCGTAGGTCCAGATCGAGATCGTTCGGCCCGCCTGCCAAGCGTCGGCGTATTCAACCAAGGTCACAATCCAGTGATTCTTCCACCGCCCGTGTGGCTTCCCGGCTATTGTCGTTGAACCCTTCAATACCTTTTGAACAACCTTCCCGGATTGGCCCTACCCGAGCCTCCACCCAATTCTTCTTGTTCTCCGCTTTCGTCCGCGGCTTCTGGGACTGGATCGGGAAGTGAGGAGCTGACCGAGTCGGATTCTAGCTCGGATGATTTGACTCGTGCTGCATTATCCCAATCGAGATCGGCCTCTCGTCGTCAACCTAGATCGGATGCCCGATCTTCGACCCCGAACCCCTCTCCGGCCGCTCGGGTTGTTCCCGCTTCTCCCGCAGCTACTGCGTTGGCTCAAGCACTGTTGCGTTCGCCTTCTCCAGACGTTCCGGAGCCTCGTTATCTTTCGTACCCATCCACTCCGGTCGCGGCTGTCCCCGTAGTCGAAATTCAAGATGATGGCGGCGTAGAAGACGTGGAGGTATCGCCAACAGGGGAGACACACAGCGAGACTGGCTCTGTTAGCCCGCCTCCGGAGTCTACTGCGCTTTCGGATCGCCATTCGTCCGATAGCGAAAACAGCATCACCCTTCCGGCACGCCAAGTGGCTAACAGAGTTTTCTCTTCCGTGGACTTCGACAATCTTCCGCCACTCCAGCAACCACGGGATCGGTGGATTCCCAACTATCTGGCGCCCTCCCGACGGGTAGCTTCCGAGATCGCTCCATGGTCCGTTTCGCGGATCGCGATGGTTTGCGTGAGGACCATGACCATTGAGCTGTTGTTTCACCACTACTCCAAACCCAGGAATTTTCTGTTTCCCTTCTACAATCATGGACGAGCTCCGCCTACGGGGACTTGGGCTTCTGGGCTGATCTCGCGGCAACACATCGAGGCTCTTTATGCTTTAGCCCCTTGGGATAATATCATAGTCCCAGTGAACCCGATATCATTCACCATGACTGGATGGTATCGTGATATGGGTCATCGGTACCTGGAGCTTGAGTCCACTCATCGAAAAGCTCTGTGGGAATCTACTCATGTTTTCCCGATTCCTCCGGCTCAAAGGCGATCTGAACGGTTCATGCAGACATTCTGACGCCAACGAAAACAACGCCGTTCTCGCTTTGGAGCGCGTTGGAAGAACTTCTTGAAGATGATACTCAGCGGCATGATCGCTGGCCACTGTGATCTCGACATCTTGCTAGATCCCTTCTTCCTCCACTATCCGCGCCCACATGAAGACCGAGTTTGGTATCCAGGGTTAGGACACTCTAACGACCCAGCTGACTTGCTAGAGGCGTTGGACATGGCAGACCAAGAGGGTCCTTGGCGCAACCAATTCCGTAACGCCTATTGGGATCATCCCGGATCGCAGATCCCTCGTCTGCAGGACAAGTTCAAACCTGCTCCATCGTCTTAGTCCAAGATCGATATCCAAGCCCGATCGTCTTTCATAATCGTATAAGTCATTCAATCATCTTCTTTTTTGGTACTTCCATTCTTTGCAACTTCCACGATCTCGATCCTCCTCGCTCCACATCATTCAGGAAGGTAATTCACTTGACTATCTCCATACTCACATACAAAAACCTCATCCACCAGCATGTGCTACCGTCTAGCACATCTTTCAACCCCTACATCCGCATATGCTACCTCCCGCATACTTGTTCGAACTGTTAAGGTTCGTCCGACTTGCCTTCATGAGACTGCATTACGTCGAAACGGTTTCGACTCACTCGGTTCCGCTCAAACTCTTGCAAGATCGCCCCACAACGTAGATCGGCCTCGTCCACCCAACTTAGATCGGGATATCCCTTCCACTTCACCAGAAACTGCCGGTGTACTCGCCCATAACGGGTTTTTCTACCAGATCGCACGTCCAATATTGCCTCTACTTCGTATTCCCCTTCTTCAAGATCGCCATCCCAACTGTCTTCCGGCAGCAGAGCTTCATCGAAATCCAAGCGATCTGATTCCTCTATCGTAAGCTGATCCTTCGGGCGTTCAGGGAACGTCTTTACCTTTTTTAGCTGCGATATGTGTACAATCGGAAATAACCGATATGGGGTTCCAGCGATCTCCAATTTTACAGCATGATCTCCACATACGTCCGCAACTCGGAATGGCCCATGCCACATGTGCGCTAGCTTCTTCGCATATCCCTCTTTAACTCGGTCCAGGTATAGCCAAACTTGCGCTCCCACTTCGATCTCGTGTGGTTCCAGATCTTCGTTGTGTCGATCCGCTCGCTCCTGGATTGCGGCTTGTAAACGATCGTTCACTGCAGATCGGGCTCGCAGGTATTGTCTTTGGATTTTGTATCTCCACCTCTTTGGATCGCGATCTCGTGTCCCCGTATTCCCCACTGGTAGCGTAGCCTCCAAAGTCGATCGCGGGTCCCACCCATGAATCAGATAAAATGGGGTATCCCCCCGGATCCGATCTTGTGCAGTGTTAATGGCAAAGGTGAGCCGCTCAGCATACTCATCCCAGTCTCGCTGGTCAACTTCAGCCACGTACATCTTGAGCGAATGTGTCAGTGTTTGCACCATTCGTTCGACTGTTCCATTTGCTTGTGGCCTGTAAGCCATAGTAGCACGCTGTTTTTGTCCTACGATCCGACTGAAGGCTCGAAAGAAGTCGGACATAAATCCCGGTTCTCGATCGTGCCTGATAGCCTCGCTAGCTCCGAAGCGTCGAAACACACATTCTTCGTAATTCTCCGCTATTGTTTGTGCCGTCCGAGAGGAGCTAGCCTTTGCAATCACATATCCCGAGAAAAGGTCGACCCAAATGAGCAGTTCGGTGTTCCCCTTGATGGACTTGGGCAACGACGGTATATGATCCATGGCGATGATCTGGAATGGATAGGTTGCGTGTAGATTGCCCGGGGATTTCCCATGAATCATCGGGTTTCCTTTCCCGGTCTCACAGTCGGTACATTCGCCCACATATCGTTGAACGCTCCGATACAGTCCTCTCCAATGAAATTGCGATCTGATCCTCTGATAGGTTCGGCCAATACCCTGATGGCCTCCTTCCAGACTCGTGTGATAGTGATGCAAAAAATCCTGCTGCAACGTCTCAGGGATCACCAACCGCATCAAACCATCGCGATCTTCTGACTCTCTTTTCGCCATGGGGCAAAAAAATAGCAGATTGTTCTCATCGATCTCGTATTCCGGCGCCAGTTTGGCGCACGTCTTCACTTCTACCGCATCCAAGTTTGATACATCGCCACTTAGATATGTCTTGAGATTGACAATCCAACGCTCCTCATCTTGAGCTTGGACAATTCGTTGAATCCTGATCCTCTGTACTATCTCCTCCTGTATCACTTCAGGTCCATGATGTATCCTCCTGGCTGATCTCGCGATCGCAGTTACCCGAGCTAGCTGACCATCTTGCTTGGGCTTCAACAATTCATCAAGACGGTTCAGAGTCATCAGATCTTGCCGATCTTCTTCAGCTACAACCGTTCTTCCCTTTTCGCTCTGCAATGCTGTGCTGGCTAGTCGATCTGCGCTCTGATTCCACTCTCGCTTCATATGCAGAAACTCGTGACTAGGCCATGACTGCAGCTTCTCCAACGCTTTGTGTCTCAGAAGCTGAAGGCCCGGTGCCTTGCAGTCGATCTCACCGCGCATCTGTCGAATCACCAGACTGGAATCTCCACACAGTATTACTCGCCCCCTATCCAGACCGGCGAGTAACTCAAAGCACAGTAGCAAGCCATTATACTCAGCTTCGTTCACAGTCAGATCGTGAACATATCTCGATTCGGCCGCCACGATCGTCCATTCGGGTAACTTCCATATCACGGCACTGAACGACCCTCCTTTCTTTTTTATCCTAGCCGATCCATCGAAACTGGCTACCAGCAACTCCTCATCTGTTTCCACCGTTGGAGGAGGCATCGATATTTTGAGTCGACAGTCTTTTCGTGGGGAGATCGCAATCAGCATCTCTTCCACCTCTCCTCTCGGAGTGATACTCGCTGCTAACATGCCCAGGATTTCTTCCTCTCCTCTTTCACATTTCTTCACCTCCATAGTCCAATTTGACAACAAAGCAGCCCACCGTCCTAATCTCCCGTTGAGCCCTCGAGACTGCATCAACCAGGCTAACGTAGAATGTCGGGTCAGTACAGTGATCTCCCGCGAGGCAAGCGTAGTATAGCATACATCCAACACACGAAGTAGCGCCAGCACTTCTTTTTCTACCATTCCGTAGTTAAGCTCATTAGGCTTTAAAGTGCGGCTAGTAAACGTCACCGGATGGTACACGCCATCGTACTCCTGTATCAGGGCCGCTGAGACAGCCCACTTGCTAGCGTAGACCACGATTACGGGGGACCGATCTGGGTCGAAATGCTTGAGCATGGGAGCTGTAGCTATCTTAGCTTTTAGCATAGTGAAAGCAACCTTGGCTTCCGTCCATCGACCCTCGTTGGAGCATTCGTCTCCTGCTGCAAGCTGAGATCGGCCGATCTCGAAGAAATCCGATTCTCTTAACTCATACAACACCGCGGCATACACCGCGAAATCCTCAATGAAGCGACGGTAGTAGTTCAAGCTCCCGAGAAAGGATTGCATAGCTCGTAGCGTGCTAGGAAACGGGATGTTAACCAACGACTCTAGGTTCTTGGGCTGAGCCTCCAGACCATCCATCGACACTCGATGTCCCAAATAATCGACCTTACGGCACCCCCAAAAACTCTTCGTGAGGCTGATAGACAGATTCCACTTATCACATGCCTCCAGCAACCGTTCTACTTTTTGTGTACAAAGATCCCCATGACGCGGCTGGTATGAGAATATCGTCAATGTAAGATCGGCGTCCCAGTATAGACGGTCGTCGATCTGTCTCAGGTTCTCCATCTTTGAACACGTCGATCGGGCCATCAGAAGCTGATCTCTGGCCGATCTTGAGATATCCATACAACGCATTGTCCACCAGACGTTGGTATATCTGGGGCGCGTTCTTAAGCCCAAAAGGCATTCGCAGCCACTCGAACAAGCCAAACGGTGTGACAAACGCTGAGATCAGTTTTGCTCGTTCGGTCATTTCGACGACCCAAAATCCACTAGCCATGTCTAGCGAACAGTACCATAGAGCTTTATCCAGATCTTCCAACAGATCGCTGATCAACGGCATGGGATAAACCATCAGACGCGTCAGCTGGTTAGCTCTTCGATAATCAATGCAAAGGCGAATATCCACTCCGTTCTTCTTGATGATCACCACTATCGGAGACGCCCAAGGTGACGTGGATGGCTGAACGATTTTGGCTGCTAATAGTCCTTTGATGAGATCTGACAGCTTCTCCCGATATTTGGGTGCGACCGGACGCACTCTTTGCGCTATCGGTGCTGCCCCACCGACATCAATATCACAGATCGCGCCTCGTGCTGCGGGTGGTAGAGCATTACCTTTACCCATGAGGAGGTGACGGCTCTTCCAGATCAGCGATCTGAGCCGTTGTTGATCTGTGGTGAGAGGCACATCGGGATCACCGATCTGAATGTCCTCAATCGTAACTTCTTCCGTAGTCGCCGACATCTCTGGTAGCACGGCCATATGCTGCTCGATATCTTCCGCAAACAAATCTCCGCTCTCGTGGTGATAAACTGGTATTTCTGCAATCTCGACGTCTTCAGTATTTAGCATTATTTCTTCTTTAGGCTCCTTCGTCTCTTCCGGCTGGCCCAATTTCAACAGTCGGTCAGTCGGCTCAGCCTTCGGTAGAGACGATCTGTCACGTAGCCCTTCTTGACCGGTGTCGCGGTCTCCCTTCGTTGCATGTTGGGTACCGATCTCATGACCGTTCTCCATCCGCGATAGTTCGGCTCCCCTGACCGTTACTTCCCTCGCAACTACAGCATCTGCCTTTTGCGAATCGTCATCGTTAGCTTGCGACGTTACCGTGGAGATCGCCGGAGACAGGTTCTGTAACGCATCAGACGGACGTTTCAAGATGCGTTTGGGAGCGGCATACGTAGGACGATCTACCAATGGTCCGATCGGTTCTTTCGGGAGTTCGTTCACTCGATCCGTTGTAGCCTCATATGCCAGAGTTTGCCATTCCTTGCACTTCCCCGACCCGACTGTCACCAAACCTTGGGTCCGCGGTACCATATCGCCTTCGACCCACATGCCTAATATAGTGTGGGTGGGCAGTATGATCTCCCGGTCGCCAATGTTGGTCATCTGCAGGTATTTCGTCTTACCCCACCCCGAGATCACAGTGGGGACCCAATCTAGTCCTCTAGCGACCCACAACTTCATCTTAGCCCCTCCGATCCCGATATTCACTTCCCTTGACTCTCCGACCGGGATCACCACGTGTTGGTCCTTCGCCGTTATGTGTTGTATCTTCGATCCGTACGCGGGGCGACGTCCTGCGAGATGAATGCGGATTTCTTCTGGTAGACATAGCGCGCCATCCGCTAGATCGAGCCGCACTCCAGCAGGCACCATAAAATCCATACCCAGAATCGCTTCTTGCCCTGCCAGATCGCCTACCCATACATTGAAATAGTATACCAGCGATCCCGCGAGGGTCACCTTGATCTTGGTACGTCCTACCGTCATGTACGGAGTTTCTCCAATCCCGATACATTCTTGTCGTTGACTTTCGTCAATATTGCAACCGACCTCACGAGCAAAGGTGGTGTCAATGATCGACACTTCAGCACCAGAATCAAATAACAGAGTAGCTTTTACGTTGTTGATCTTGCCAACGGCTTTCGCTTGTTTGAACCACTTCCCGGGTGAATAATGTTTCCAATATCCGCGAGATTCACCATAAGCGAGCTCGATCTCCATAGCTGGTTCAGATCGTGAGTACTCATCGATCCGCTTCAGATGGGACACGGAAGCAACACGTTTTAACTTCGAACGAGATATATTTGTTTCCACGTCAATATCCTGCTTACTCTCGCGATCTGTCTTCTTTTTTTTCCACGTATGCAATAATGCAGAGCCCAGAACGCTCGGCTCGTACCAGATTCAAACCTGGCGAGCGTCCTAGTTTAACATCTTCTCGGCCTTCTCTGGTAGCATCCCCGCATGCTTATTCGGGACGTACCACTGACGGATCATGTTGTAGAACTCCTCCATGGGACACTTCCCCGGGTCGTGCATCTCACCGCAAGCACGACACACGAAAAAACAATTGTCAGAGGGGTGTCCTTTACGCCCACACTTCTGGCAAGTGAGCCGCTTCCAACAACCGAGATCTCCATGCTTGGTCGATCCGCAATGAGTACACGGCTTCAATGGCATATTGCGATCTTGATAATCTTGACGAGTGTTCGGGTCGACCGATCTCGCGTTTGCTGCAACGTCATTGGGGGATGAACGGCGATCCGCGGTAGCAGCCACATGGATCGATCTCAATCGATCTTCCAAATCCGATCCGCAGGTGTCCGATCCTGACTCGCTGCAGACGTCCTCGGTACGGACCATCCTTACCGCTCGTGCAGGCTTAGACAGCGCTGGACCCTGAGTTCCCTTCTGCCTGAATTTGGACGATCCCATCATCACTTTCCCTTGACGCGATCTCCCTTGTTGATATCCGTGCAGTGTCTTTTGCATGGCCTCCGCGTCTTCTACATCTCCCTTGTTGATATCCGTCCAGTGTCTTTTCCATGCCCTCCCTCCGCAGTCAGCTTCACATTCAGCAGTAGCAATTGATTGGACAGATCGGGGTCGTCCAAGGTGTCAATGAAATGATTGACATGTTCCTTGCGCGCAGCTGGCAATCCAGTCATCACCGGTATCTTCGCCTGCATTCCCATCACATTAAGCCGATACAGGTACTGCAAAGGATCTTCCTCCGATCGTTTCTTTGCATGGTAGTATTGCCTGCTCGCGGGCATCCCGTGTCCCGCATACTCCACAAGAAAACTGTTCATCAATTCTTTCCAATTGAATCTCGTCGATCTACTCAGCTGTCGGTACCAGTAGCGGGCTGGGCCCACCATGAGATCACCGAAGACCAGACATCTCTCCTCGTCCGGTGCTTGGTCCCGGATAAACGCTGATTTCACTTTGCCGATCCAGGTCCGTGCTTTGTCTTCTTCCCGATCCTTCCCTGAGAATTCTTTCAGCTCAGAAATCGCTGAGATTCTGATCCTCTGCGTGATGTTTCCCCCTCCGGTAGTCGCACCGGTCGCGGCTACTTGAGGGCGCAGTGGTTCGGGCATCCATAGATCATCCGGGTCGTATTCCGCCGCCTCATGGATATGTTGGTAAATGTCCGACCCCACCGACTCCATCTCCACATCCGGCATGTCAAGGCTTTCGTGTGAAGGTTGGAGCAAAGTACGTCGATCTGGGTAGCGGTTTGGCTGTCGATTCATTCGCTGAGCTGTACGTTGCTCCGCCTCGTACTTCTTCATGGCTGAATTGAAGTACCGACTTAGATCGCCCTCTTCTTGATCCTCCAGCCCAGTGCGGGTACTGGCCGATCTCTGCGGCATGTTGCTCTTGGCTTGTCCCTTATAGGCGTCGATCTTGGCTTGTCCGATCTTGTCCTTTAAGAACCTTCCACCCGATGGTCCTAGAGACATCTGACGAATGCTGATGGATCCATCTGACTCGCTCTCGGAGTCATCCGAGGCGTAGCGGGCGATCCCGCGGGGTGTTTACAGAGCGAGCCCGAGGGCGTCCCGATCTTGTCTTCAGGAGTATTCGCTTTGCCCACCAGCATTATCATGATCTCTACAAACTCATTCGCCGCGTCCTTCAACTGTTCCAAGCTGCAACTCAGCAGTTCATCTCCATCAAAAGCGTCAGGGCAGATACCCATGTCGTCCAACATCTGCAAAATCACATTGATCTCGTCGACTTTGTTGGTCCCGTGAAGTGGGACCGAGATCGGCTTATCCAGAGGACCAATCACCTTGGGCCTTAACATCTTGAACACTGGGTCCGTCTTGAGCAGCGTCTTCAACTGGCCATAATAGTACTGCCATTTTGCACGCTCCCGCGCTTCACCCGTCGTCTCCTTCTCCATGGACGCGATCTTTATTGGGTTATATTCCGTCTTTGGCATCGCGATCTTATCTGGTGTTTCATCGTATTCCTCTTTGGCTCCGATCTTCGATTGCACGGTTCGGCCGATCTGGCGATCTTTGACATCTGATCCCATCGATCTCGTCGCGGATCGTTCTGATGTGGTCGATCTCGCGATTGTGCTCTTCGGCTTGAGGTCGGGCGATCTATCGACTAAGATATAGGGTTTGGCTTTCGCCGATTTGGTTTTCACCGTTGGATTTTCATCCAGCAGATCGCTCTTTGCAGAGCGATCTGCGGTGGCCCCCGAAGGGACCCTAGGAGGGAATTGAGGTTTATCTTCCAGATCGATCTCTCGATCTTCCTCTTTCATTTTCATTTCATCAGAGCCCCTCCCAAAACTCTGATGATCTGAGGATCTTGTGCTTCTGCGTGTCTGCGTCGATCCCTTTGTCGCTGACACTTCAATCCCAGGTTCTTGCTTAATCTTGACATCTTCGCCAGTGGACTCACGGTGAAATCCAGAGGCCTCAGAAGATCCGGGCACGCGCACCATTGTGGTGAAGTCGATCTCACAAAATTGCTTGTATGAGTGTCGATCTTCCACTTGCCCAGACTTGCCGACTCACGGAGGGGGTACTCCGATCCGTGCCTTGCTGTATAACCTTGTGCTCACCTTGTGTACCCGTCGGTTGGGCTGGCTTGAGCTCTTCGTAACGGCCTTGGGAGATGTCGATCTCGCTGAGAGGTTGGGTTGAGGGTTCGCTTCCGGTGCGGAAATCTTCACACCACGAACGGGGTTCTGCGATCCCGATCTTGGATCGCACCGATCTTGATTTGTCTTCGAGATCGGGGTCTTTGCTGTGCGGAAATCTTCACTCAGCAAATAAAAGTCCTGCGTCGATCTTGCCTTGGGATCGGTCCGATCTGGTCTTGGGATCGGCCGATCTTGCCGGAAGTGCGCAATTTGGGTAGATCGGTGTCTTGTTTCGCCAAAATGAAACGTGCCGATCTGTCCGGGGGATCGCTTCGATCCTGCTCGGTCTTGTCTTGAACGCCTTGTCCAGATCTTCTGACCACTTGAGCCGTCTCGCGATCCTGTGTCCAAAATCCTTTTCCTTTTCCGTTGTGTGCTGCTACCCTAGCAGTTGAGTTGAGTGTGAGTACTTGATCGATCCGGGCCAGATATCCCGGGATCGCTCTTCTCGATCTTGGCCAACAATCCAAGATCGGTCTTCTGTGTCCCTGTAACACGCGTGCCTTAACCCGCCGGGGAAGCCAAATCAATCTTGCCTGGAGAAGAGGGGAGGATAACGTGCGTCGTGAGCAGAAGAAGTAGAGTTCAAGTCTGTTTATTAACCAACCAAATTACTATCCAACCTACCCTTAAGCCTATTTTTAACTGTAGGTCACTCTTCAAACCGATATCGCCTTGAATCTGGATCGCCCCCTTGCCACGTGTCGAAATTTCGTGCCCTGTACTCCAATGATAGCGCCAATATTCCCGATACCGTACCTGAACGCCAAAAGAGGACCAAATCCCAAATGGGGTACCAAATACCCAAAAGCCCAAAATAGTGCCCAAATGCCGAAGGCGTCTAAATCCATTTTGCGACGTCAATTCGGACAGCTTCCACTGGCTCTTTCGGCATGAAACTTCTTGACATCACTTAGTGACCTCTACCAAGTATATTCCACATGATCCAGTGTCTTCATCAACCATATATTCATGATCAGTGTGGAACATGACCGATCTGTCATCCAATATCGAGATGTTGGAGGTCGATCCGGTCTAAATCGGAAATTAACACTTTTTTATCTCCTCATACGTGCTTCAATATCATCCTCCAGTGTTATCCAATCGACCACTTCATTCATACGTCTCGACATCGGTTTCCTTGACTCCCCTGAGTATGCAAAACTTCCAGATCGGCGTATAATTAACCAAAATCAGTACTCCCAATTTAGGATCGGTAAAGAGTATCACCGATCCGTATGGTGTTGCACCTTCTTTGCCGATTCACCGACCTGTACCACCTGGTCCCAGATGCGTCAATTCTCCAACAAACCGTTGCCACAACATGCCGATCTGCGATCTGATCTTAGCCTGCTTCAATGTACGTATACTTCTTCTTGACCGGCATTCCAATGAGCTGTATGACTTCATCCCGACGTCTGGTTCCAAATCGCCCCATAACATTCTGCAAGGTGTTACACCTTCGTCGCAGAGTCATATCCCATCACCCGGTCCCAGATCCTTGTCCCAGATTGTTCCATGTAAATCGTTCCAGATCGCTCCGTCCCAGGTCGATTCACACCCATTAGTCTAACGACAGTTGGACCGGTTCGCCGATCCCGTTAAGATCATCTTCCACCTCCGTATTGGATCGCCGAGTCTCATGGCCTCCTTTTCCACCATTAAGCGGCGCTTTATAGGTGTGGCCACCGATCCTCGTACAAAATTTGAGTAGTGACTCTGCCACACTACCCAGATCGACGTACTTTGCTCCAACCTTCACACGAAAGCCTTGACATGCCGAATGTGGAGATGGAGTCGGTGGGGTCGGACATTTACCAACATATCCATGAGGCGGCGGAATACGACCCGGATGATCTATGGATGTCCGAACCACGGCGCCCTCAAGTAGCCGCGACCGGTGCGACTACCGGAGGGGGAAACACCACGCAGAGGATCAGAATCTCAGCGATTTCTGAGCTGAAAGAATTCTCAGGGAAGGATCGGGAAGAAGACAAAGCACGGACCTAGATCGGCAAAGTGAAATCAGCGTTTATCCGGGACCAAGCACCGGACGAGGAGAGATGTCTGGTCTTCGGTGATCTCATGGTGGGCCCAGCCCGCTACTGGTACCGACAGCTGAGTAGATCGACGAGATTCAATTGGAAAGAATTGATGAACAGTTTTCTTGTGGAGTATGCGGGACACGGGATGTCCGCGAGCAGGCAATACTACCATGCAAAGAAACGATCGGAGGAAGATCCTTTACAGTACCTGTATCGGCTTAATGTGATGGGAATGCAGGCGAAGATACCGGTGATGACTGGATTGCCAGCTGCGCGCAAGGAACATGTCAATCATTTCATTGACACTTTGGACGACCCCGATCTGTCCAATCAATTGCTACTGCTGAATGTAGAAGACGCGGAGGCCATGCAAAAGACACTGCACGGATATCAACAAGGGAGATCGCGTCAAGGGAAAGTGATGATGGGATCGTCCAAATTCAGACAGAAGGGAACTCAGGGTCCAGCGCTGTCTAAGCCTGCACGAGCGGTAAGGATGGTCCGTACCGAGGACGTCTGCAGCGAGTCAGGATCGGACACCTGCGGATCGGATTTGGAAGATCGATTGAGATCGATCCATGTGGCTGCTACCGCGGATCGCCGTTCATCCCCCAATGACGTTGCAGCAAACGCGAGATCGGTCGACCCGAACACTCGTCAAGATTATCAAGATCGCAATATGCCATTGAAGCCGTGTACTCATTGCGGATCGACCAAGCATGGAGATCTCGGTTGTTGGAAGCGGCTCACTTGCCAGAAGTGTGGGCGTAAAGGACACCCCTCTGACAATTGTTTTTTCGTGTGTCGTGCTTGCGGTGAGATGCACGACCCGGGGAAGTGTCCCATGGAGGAGTTCTATAACATGATCCGTCAGTGGTACGTCCCGAATAAGCATGCGGGGATGCTACCAGAGAAGGCCGAGAAGATGTTAAACTAGGACGCTCGCCAGGTTTGAATCTGGTACGAGCCGAGCGTTCTGGGCTCTGCATTATTGCATACGTGGAAAAAAAGAAGACAGATCGCGAGAGTAAGCAGGATATTGACGTGGAAACAAATATATCTCGTTCGAAGTTAAAACGTGTCGCTTCCGTGTCCCATCTGAAGCGGATCGATGAGTACTCACGATCTGAACCAGCTATGGAGATCGAGCTCGCTTATGGTGAATCTCGCGGATATTGGAAACATTATTCACCCGGGAAGTGGTTCAAACAAGCGAAAGCCGTTGGCAAGATCAACAACGTAAAAGCTACTCTGTTATTTGATTCTGGTGCTGAAGTGTCGATCATTGACACCACCTTTGCTCGTGAGGTCGGTTGCAATATTGACGAAAGTCAACGACAAGAATGTATCGGGATTGGAGAAACTCCGTACATGACGGTAGGACGTACCAAGATCAAGGTGACCCTCGCGGGATCGCTGGTATACTATTTCAATGTATGGGTAGGCGATCTGGCAGGGCAAGAAGCGATTCTGGGTATGGATTTTATGGTGCCTGCTGGAGTGCGGCTCGATCTAGCGGATGGCGCGCTATGTCTACCAGAAGAAATCCGCATTCATCTCGCAGGACGTCGCCCCGCGTACGGATCGAAGATACAACATATAACGGCGAAGGACCAACACGTGGTGATCCCGGTCGGAGAGTCAAGGGAAGTGAATATCGGGATCGGAGGGGCTAAGATGAAGTTGTGGGTCGCTAGAGGACTAGATTGGGTCCCCACTGTGATCTCGGGGTGGGGTAAGACGAAATACCTGCAGATGACCAACATTGGCGACCGGGAGATCATACTGCCCACCCACACTATATTAGGCATGTGGGTCGAAGGCGATATGGTACCGCGGACCCAAGGTTTGGTGACAGTCGGGTCGGGGAAGTACAAGGAATGGCAAACTCTGGCATATGAGGCTACAACGGATCGAGTGAACGAACTCCCGAAAGAACCGATCGGACCATTGGTAGATCGTCCTACGTATGCCGCTCCCAAACGCATCTTGAAACGTCCGTCTGATGCGTTACAGAACCTGTCTCCGGCGATCTCCACGGTAACGTCGCAAGCTAACGATGACGATTCGCAAAAGGCAGATGCTGTAGTTGCGAGGGAAGTAACGGTCAGGGGAGCCGAACTATCGCGGATGGAGAACGGTCATGAGATCGGTACCCAACATGCAACGAAGGGAGACCGCGACACCGGTCAAGAAGGGCTACGTGACAGATCGTCTCTAACGAAGGCTGAGCCGACTGACCGACTGTTGAAATTGGGCCAGCCGGAAGAGACGAAGGAGCCTAAAGAAGAAATAATGCTAAATACTGAAGACGTCGAGATTGCAGAAATACCAGTTTATCACCACGAGAGCGGAGATTTGTTTGCGGAAGATATCGAGCAGCATATGGCCGTGCTACCAGAGATGTCGGCGACTACGGAAGAAGTTACGATTGAGGACATTCAGATCGGTGATCCCGATGTGCCTCTCACCACAGATCAACAACGGCTCAGATCGCTGATCTGGAAGAGCCGTCACCTCCTCATGGGTAAAGGTAATGCTCTACCACCCGCAGCACGAGGCGCGATCTGTGATATTGATGTCGGTGGGGCAGCACCGATAGCGCAAAGAGTGCGTCCGGTCGCACCCAAATATCGGGAGAAGCTGTCAGATCTCATCAAAGGACTATTAGCAGCCAAAATCGTTCAGCCATCCACGTCACCTTGGGCGTCTCCGATAGTGGTGATCATCAAGAAGAACGGAGTGGATATTCGCCCTTGCATTGATTATCGAAGAGCTAACCAGCTGACGCGTCTGATGGTTTATCCCATGCCGTTGATCAGCGATCTGTTGGAAGATCTGGATAAAGCTCTATGGTACTGTTCGCTAGACATGGCTAGTGGATTTTGGGTCGTCGAAATGACCGAACGAGCAAAACTGATCTCAGCGTTTGTCACACCGTTTGGCTTGTTCGAGTGGCTGCGAATGCCTTTTGGGCTTAAGAACGCGCCCCAGATATACCAACGTCTGGTGGACAATGCGTTGTATGGATATCTCAAGATCGGCCAGAGATCAGCTTCTGATGGCCCGATCGACGTGTTCAAAGATGGAGAACCTGAGACAGATCGACGACCGTCTATACTGGGACGCCGATCTTACATTGACGATATTCTCATACCAGCCGCGTCATGGGGATCTTTGTACACAAAAGTAGAACGGTTGCTGGAGGCATGTGATAAGCGGAATCTGTCTATCAGCCTCACGAAGAGTTTTTTGGGGGTGCCGTAAGGTCGATTATTTGGGACATCGAGTGTCGATGGATGGTCTGGAGGCTCAGCCCAAGAACCTAGAGTCGTTGGTTAACATCCCGTTTCCTAGCACGCTACGAGCTATGCAATCCTTTCTCGGGAGCTTGAACTACTACCGTCGCTTCATTGAGGATTTCGCGGTGTATGCCGCGGTGTTGTATGAGTTAAGAGAATCGGATTTCTTCGAGATCGGCCGATATCAGCTTGCAGCAGGAGACGAATGCTCCAACGAGGGTCGATGGACGGAAGCCAAGGTTGCTTTCACTATGCTAAAAGCTAAGATAGCTACAGCTCCCATGCTCAAGCATTTCGACCCAGATCGGTCCCCCGTAATCGTGGTCTACGCTAGCAAGTGGGCTGTCTCAGCGGCCCTGATACAGGAGTACGATGGCGTGTACCATCCGGTGACGTTTACTAGCCGCACTTTAAAGCCTAATGAGCTTAACTACGGAATGGTAGAAAAGAAGTGCTGGCGCTACTTCGTGTGTTGGATGTATGCTATACTACGCTTGCCTCGCGGGAGATCACTGTACTGACCCGACATTCTACGTTAGCCTGGTTGATGCAGTCTCGAGGGCTCAACGGGAGATTAGGACGGTGGGCTGCTTTGTTGTCAAATTGGACTATGGAGGTGAAGAAATGTGAAAGAGGAGAGGAAGAAATCCTGGGCATGTTAAGCAGCGAGTATCACTCCGAGAGGAGAGGTGGAAGAGATGCTGATTGCGATCTCCCCACGAAAAGACTGTCGACTCAAAATATCGATGCCTCCTCCAACGGTGGAAACAGATGAGGAGTTGCTGGTAGCCAGTTTCGATGGATCGGCTAGGATAAAAAAGAAAGGAGGGTCGTTCAGTGCCGTGATATGGAAGTTACCCGAATGGACGATCGTGGCGGCCGAATCGAGATATGTTCACGATCTGACTGTGAATGAAGCTGAGTATAATGGCTTGCTACTGTGCTTTGAGTTACTCGCCGGTCTGGATAGGGGGCGAGTAATACTGTGTGGAGATTCCAGTCTGGTGATTCGACAGATGCGCGGTGAGATCGACTGCAAGGCACCGGGCCTTCAGCTTCTGAGACACAAAGCGTTGGAGAAGCTGCAGTCATGGCCTAGTCACGAGTTTCTGCATATGAAGCGAGAGTGGAATCAGAGCGCAGATCGACTAGCCAGCACAGCATTGCAGAGCGAAAAGGGAAGAACGGTTGTAGCTGAAGAGGATCGGCAAGATCTGATGACTCTGAACCGTCTTGATGAATTGTTGAAGCCCAAGCAAGATGGTCAGCTGGCTCGGGTAACTGAGATCGCGAGATCAGCCAGGAGGATACATCATGGACCTGAAGTGATACAGGAGGAGATAGTACAGAGGATCAGGATTCAACGAATTGTCCAAGCTCAAGATGAGGAGCGTTGGATTGTCAATCTCAAGACATATCTAAGTGGTGATGTATCAAACTTGGATGCGGTAGAAGTGAAGACGTGCGCCAAACTGGCGCCGGAATACGAGATCGATGAGAACAATCTGCTATTTTTTTGCCCCACGGCGAAAAGAGAGTCAGAAGATCGCGATGGTTTGATGCGGTTGGTGATCCCTGAGACGTTGCAGCAGGATTTTTTGCATCATTATCACACGAGTCTGGAAGGAGGCCATCAGGGTATTGGCCGAACCTATCAGAGGATCAGATCGCGATTTCATTGGAGAGGACTGTATCGGAGCGTTCAACGATATGTGGGCGAATGTACCGACTGTGAGACCGGGAAAGGAAACCCGATGATTAATGGGAAATCCCCGGGCAATCTACACGCAACCTATCCATTCCAGATCATCGCCATGGATCATATACCGTCGTTGACCAAGTCCATCAAGGGGAACACCGAACTGCTCATTTGGGTCGACCTTTTCTCGGGATATGTGATTGCAAAGGCTAGCTCCTCTCGGACGGCACAAACAATAGCGGAGAATTACGAAGAATGTGTGTTTCGACGCTTCGGAGCTAGCGAGGCTATCAGGCACGATCGAGAACCGGGATTTATGTCCGACTTCTTTCGAGCCTTCAGTCGGATCGTAGGACAAAAACAGCGTGCTACTATGGCTTACAGGCCACAAGCAAATGGAACAGTCGAACGAATGGTGCAAACCCTGACACATTCGCTCAAGATGTACGTGGCTGAAGTTGACCAGCGAGACTGGGATGAGTATGCTGAGCGGCTCACATTTGCCATTAACACTGCACAAGATTGGATCCGGGGGGATACCCCATTTTATCTGATTCATGGGTGGGACCCGCGATCGACTTTGGAGGCTACGCTACCAGTGGGGAATACGGGGACACGAGATCGCGATCCAAAGAGGTGGAGATACAAAATCCAAAGACAATACCTGCGAGCCCGATCTGCAGTGAACGATCGTTTACAAGCCGCGATCCAGGAGCGAGCGGATCGACACAACGAAGATCTGGAACCACACGAGATCGAAGTAGGAGCGCAAGTTTGGCTATACCTGGACCGAGTTAAAGAAGGATATGCGAAGAAGCTAGCGCACATGTGGCATGGGCCATTCCGAGTTGCGGACGTATGTGGAGATCATGCTGTAAAATTGGAGATCGCTGGAACCCCATATCGGTTATTTCCGATTGTACATATATCGAAGCTAAAAAAGGTAAAGAAGTTCCCTGAACGCCCGAAGGATCAGCTTACGATAGAGGAATCAGATCGCTTGGATTTCGATGAAGCTCTGCTGCCGGAAGACAGTTGGGATGGCGATCTTGAAGAAGGGGAATACGAAGTGGAGGCAATATTGGACGTGCGATCTGGTAGAAAAACCCGTTATTGGCGAGTACACCGGCAGTTTCTGGTGAAGTGGAAGGGATATCCCGATCTAAGTTGGGTGGACGAGGCCGATCTACGTTGTGGGGCGATCTTGCAAGAGTTTGAGCGGAACCGAGTGAGTCGAAACCGTTTCGACGTAATGCAGTCTCATGAAGGCAAGTCGGACGAACCTTAACAGTTCGAACAAGTATGCGGGAGGTAGCATATGCGGATGTAGGGGTTGAAAGATGTGCTAGACGGTAGCACATGCTGGTGGATGAGGTTTTTGTATGTGAGTATGGAGATAGTCAAGTGAATTACCTTCCTGAATGATGTGGAGCGAGGAGGATCGAGATCGCGGAAGCTGCAAAGAATGGAAGTACCAAAAAGAAGATGATTGAATGACTTACACGATTATGAAAGACGATCGGGCTTGGATATCGATCTTGGACTAAGACGATGGAGCAGGTTTGAACTTGTCCTGCAGACGAGGGATCTGCGATCCGGGATGATCCCAATAGGCGTTACGGAATTGGTTGCGCCAAGGATCCTCTTGGTCTGCCATGTCCAACGCCTCTAGCAAGTCAGCTGGGTCGTTAGAGTGTCCTAACCCTGGATACCAAACTCGGTCTTCATGTGGGCGCGGATAGTGGAGGAAGAAGGGATCTAGCAAGATGTCGAGATCACAGTGGCCAGCGATCATGCCGCTGAGTATCATCTTCAAGAAGTTCTTCCAACGCGCTCCAAAGCGAGAACGGCGTTGTTTTCGTTGGCGTCAGAATGTCTGCATGAACCGTTCAGATCGCCTTTGAGCCGGAGGAATCGGGAAAACATGAGTAGATTCCCACAGAGCTTGTCGATGAGTGGACTCAAGCTCCAGGTACCGATGACCCATATCACGATACCATCCAGTCATGGTGAATGATATCGGGTTCACTGGGACTATGATATTATCCCAAGGGGCTAAAGCATAAAGAGCCTCGATGTGTTGCCGCGAGATCAGCCCAGAAGCCCAAGTCCCCGTAGGCGGAGCTCGTCCATGATTGTAGAAGGAAACAGAAAATTCCTGGGTTTGGAGTAGTGGTGAAACAACAGCTCAATGGTCATGGTCCTCACGCAAACCATCGCGATCCGCGAAACGGACCATGGAGCGATCTCGGAAGCTACCCGTCGGGAGGGCGCCAGATAGTTGGGAATCCACCGATCCCGTGGTTGCTGGAGTGGCGGAAGATTGTCGAAGTCCACGGAAGAGAAAACTCTGTTAGCCACTTGGCGTGCCGGAAGGGTGATGCTGTTTTCGCTATCGGACGAATGGCGATCCGAAAGCGCAGTAGACTCCGGAGGCGGACTAACAGAGCCAGTCTCGCTGTGTGTCTCCCCTGTTGGCGATACCTCCACGTCTTCTACGCCGTCATCATCTTGAATTTCGACTACGGGGACAGCCGCGACCGGAGTGGATGGGTACGAAAGATAACGAGGCTCCGGAACGTCTGGAGAAGGCGAACGCAACAGTGCTTGAGCCAACGCAGTAGCCGCGGGAGAAGCGGGAACAACCCGAGCGGCCGGAGAGGGGTTCGGGGTCGAAGATCGGGCATCCGATCTAGGTTGACGACGAGAGGCCGATCTCGATTGGGATAATGCAGCACGAGTCAAATCATCCGAGCTAGAATCCGACTCGGTCAGCTCCTCACTTCCCGATCCAGTCCCAGAAGCCGCGGAAGAAAGCGGAGAACAAGAAGAATTGGGTGGAGGCTCGGGTGGGGCCAATCCGGGAAGGTTGTTTAAAGATGTTGAAGGGTTCAACGACAATAGCCGGGAAGCCACACGGGCGGTGGAAGAATCACTGGATTGTGACCTTGGTTGAATACGCCGACGCTTGGCAGGCGGGCCGAACGATCTCGATCTGGACCTACGGGCAAGCGATCTCGATCCCGGGGTAGTGGGAGCAGGGGGCGATACGACCGGAGTAGCACTCTTAGGCGTCGATCGAGCGATCAACGCAGACGACCGGGATCCGAGTATAGCACTGTTCAGTGTGTCGAGGAGAGCTCGGTGTTCAGCTATAGCCTGATCCCGATCATGCTCCACCACCTGCAACTGGTCGTATATCTCGAGGTGTTCCGCAAGCTGACGACGTAGGTTGGCGTTCTCCGCCTGCGAAAGTGCCAACTGACCCTCTAGGGGAGTCAAACCATCCACTTGTTGCATGAGATCGCTGATCGAAGACAGTCCATCTGCGATCTCCTCCTGAGACTGAGCCAATTGCTCCTTCAAGTGCAAAAAATCTATGTGAAGGAAGGATTTGTCCATGGTCAGCTGATCACGCTGCTGTCGGAGAGAGTTGAGTTCGGCTTGGAGCAAATGAAGCTGAGCCCTCAAAGCATCCACCTGTCGTTCCAAGTTCCCCTGAGCCTCGTCGTTGGCACATATCAAAGTGCGTAGCCGACGAATCTCCTCCGATTGATCTCGATATGTCCGCAGAGCTCGATGGCAATCACTCAAAGAATGCACTGCGTCGACGTAGCGGCCCTGCATCCAGTCATATCGAAGCTGGACGAAGGAGACAAAAGGAGCGGCTGATCTGTATAGCGAATCAAGCTCGTCTTGTAAGCGATCCCCCCGGACGACGGCATCTCGGTAGGATTGCTGGAGCGCATGAATGGTGTCGGCTTGGCTGCAGAAGGTAGCCTCTCGATCCCACAAATACGAGATCGTGGCCATCGTGAGACGAACGTCGTCGGCAGAGACTCTGGGAACGAAGTCGGTGACGCCCACAGCTGGAGCAGACCTTTCACGAGATTCATTAGCGGCCGGGATGTCGGATCTGGACGCATCTGGGGCCCCCGGAGGAGTGGGAAGCGGGAATGGCTTGGAGGAACGATCTGATAATTCCGCGGCGGTCGAGAGTGATCCGACCGATCTGGGATTACTGAGAGACTCATGTTGATCTGGGACGATAGGAGCATACCACCCGCAATCTAGCGATCTAGATGGCGAGTCTCGGGATGGAGACGAGGGTCTGGTCGGCTGTCGATCTGGCGATCCTGTGGGGATTGTGGGCGATCCGGTTGGGCCTACCAGGCCGATCGGGGACCCAGGCCGATCGGGGACCGCTGGGGTGTGTCCTCCGAGATCGGGCGATCCGGGCGACAGGTCGCGATCCGGAGACAGAAACATGGTGGGTCCTTCTGATGAGATCAGCGAGGTGGGTGGATGCGTCGGAGAGGCCATGAGACGGACTTGAGTGCTTGGAACGAAGTTGATGAGTGACTGTACTGAGGTCAATTGCTGTACAAAAGACTTCAGTACAGGGGGCGGTTGTGGCAAAGTCACTACTCAAATTTTGTACGAGGATCGGTGGCCACACCTTTAAAGCGCCGCTTACTGGTGGAAAAGGAGGCCATGAGACTCGGCGATCCAATACGGAGGTGGAAGATGATCTTAACGGGATTGGCGAACCGATCCAACTGTCGTTAGACGAATGGGTATGAATCGACCTGGGACGGAGCGATCTGGAACGATTTACATGGAACAATCTGGGACAAGGATCTGGGACCGGGTGATGGGATATGACTCTGCGACGAAGGTGTAACATCTTGCAGAATGTTATGGGGCGATCTGGAACTAGACGTCGGGATGAAGTCATACAGCTCATTGGAATGCCGGTCAAGAAGAAGTATACGTACATTGAAGCAGGCTAAGATTAGATCGCAGATCGGCATGTTGTGGCAACGGTTTGTTGGAGAATTGACACATCTGGGACAAGGTGACTCCCCAAAGTGCATCTGGGACCAGGTGGTACGGGTCGGTGAATCGGCAAAGAAGGTGCAACACTATACGGATCGGTGATACTCTTTACCGATCCTAAATTGGGAGTACTGGTTTTGGTTAATTATACACCGATCTGGAAGTTTTGCATACTCAGGGGAGTCAAGGAAACCGATGTCGAGACGTATGAATGAAGTTGTCGATTGGATAACACTGGAGGATGATATTGAAGCACGTATGAGGAGATGAAAAAGTGTTAATTGCCGATTTAGACCGGATCGACCTCCAACATCTCGATATTGGATGACAGATCGGTCATGTTCCACACTGATCATGAATATACGGTTGATGAAGATACTGGATCATGTGGAATATACTTGATAGAGATCACTAAGTGATGTCAAGAAGTTTCATGCCGAAAGAGCCAGTGGAAGCTGTCCGAATTGACGTCGCAAAGTGAATTTGGACACATTCGGCATTTTGGGTCATATATTGGGTACTTGGGTGCCAAGAATGGGTATTTGGTACCATATAGGAGATTTTGGTCCATTGGGTTTTCTAGGTACGATATCGGGGATATTGGCGCTATCATTGGAGTACAGGGCACGAAATTTCGACACGTGGCAAGGGGGCGAACCAGATTCAAGGCGATATCGGTTTGAAGAGTGACCTATAGTTAAGAATAGGCTTAAGGGTAGGTTGGATAGTAATTTGGTTGGTTAATAAACAGACTTGAACTCTACTTCTTCTGCTCACGACGCACGTTATCCTCCCCTCTTCTCCAGGCAAAATTGATTTGGCTTCCCCGGCGGGTTAAGGCACGCGTGTTACAGGGACACAGAAGACCGATCTTGGATTGTTGGCCAAGATCGAGAAGAGCGATCCCGGGATATCTGGCCCGGATCGATCAAGTACTCACACTCAACTCAACTGCTAGGGTAGCAGCACACAACGGAAAAGGAAAAGGATTTTGGACACAGGATCACGAGACGGCTCGAGTGGTCAGAAGATCTGGACAAGGCGTTCAAGACAAGACCGAGCAGGATCGAAGCGATCCCCTGGACATATCGGCACGTTTCATTTTGGCGAAACAAGACACCGATCTACCCAAATTGCGCACTTCCGGCAAGATCGGCCGATCCCAAGACCAGATCGGACCGATCCCAAGGCAAGATCGACGCAGGACTTTTATTTGCTGAGTGAAGATTTCCGCACAGCAAAGACCCTGATCTCGAAGACAAATCAAGATCGGTACGATCCAAGATCGGGATCGCAGAACCCCTGTTCGTGGTGTGAAGATTTCCACACCGGAAGCGAACCCTCAACCCAACCTCTCAGCGAGATCGACATATCCCAAGGCCGTTACGAAGAGCTCAAGCCAGCCCAACCGACGGGTACACAAGGTGCGCACAAGGTCATACAACAAGG